TTTTGAAAAGTATCATTTTGTCTTTTTTGTTTAGTCACCAAGACTATTGGACTTGTGATAGGCACATTTTCTTCCTCGCTAATCGGTGCTATGATTCCTTGTTTAAGGAGTTCATCTAAGTGGTGCCGCAATTACTTCTCTTTTATGTGGCGGGAGTCGATAAGGTTGTTGGTGTTTTGGTTCAACATCAGGTTTAAGATTTATTTTATGTTGTACATAAGTTGAGAACCCTAGATTAGGATTTTCTTTTGTTACGAAAATGTCTTTGTTTTCATATAAACAGTCAGTTAATTGCGTTGTTTGTTCCGGATTTAATGGTTAAGGAATACTAAAATTTGACAAAAACACAGTTTTGGTTTCATCGGTAAATTCATTGTTTTTACCAGTTGAAATAATCTGATTATTGGATCTAATCTGTACATTTTGAACTACAGGGGACATTTAATGTCTTCAGTTATAACACTAAAGTCAGCATTCAATATCTGAAAATTCGCCAATATTGACCCTTTAGAGACTGAAGTTGTTGTATTTGTAGGGTTCATTAACTTCAAAGGAATAGTTTTATCAATTGACACAGTGACTATCGCTTTTGCAAGAAGCAGTCCTTTTCCTAATGAAAACGCATTGTTTGTACATATACCTTGAAGACCAACAGATAAATATTTCGGCACATTTGCCCGAACAAAAATTTCAGAATTTGGCTGAATACTTAGCCTTTTATTACATTTCACATGATGATATTTACTGTTTGTGTTAAATTCACTGAACTTCAATGTAATATTATTAGATTTCAAGTATTCCATACCTAAAATTAACGGATGTGATCTCGTGCTAAGAATGTACACTTTGACCTCATGTAAACCTTGATTCGTTTTAATTGTTACGGAAGAAGTTCCTTCCAGAACTATTAATTGTCCATTTGCTAATTTAATGGGTTCAGTGAAACTACTGATATCGTATTTAACATGCCTTGGTAAAGATTTATATAGTGGAGCGGACATAATGTTAATTGAACTTCTAGTGTCAATCAAAGCTGCGATATCAACATTATCACAACAAACATTCATATATATAAAATTATCAAAAGTAGATAGGTTATCTGGTTTGGAATCGGTATAGTTGACTTGTTTAGACCTCGAATTTATGCACCCGAACGATCTGGCCTTGTATTGGTCGGGTATTGGTAGTTTTCCTGATTAGGTTTAAAGGATTTGCATCGAAAAGCAGTGTGACCCGTTTGGTGACAAATTTGGCATTTATTACTTGTTGTTTGTCCAAATCCATTCCAATTGCATTCTCGTTTCCTATGTCCTGGAAAATTACAGTTGAAACAATTTGAATTGGTGTTTGGGTATTGATACTGTTGTCTCCTTTGAACATTATTTTGTGGCGACTCGTATTGGCTATTTGATGATGCCTGTGGGGCTTTCGAAATTAAAAGCTCTGAAACATTTTTACTGAGCTAAGCAACTTCATTCGTAAGATTAGCGAATTCAGAGGAATTTTTAACTTCAGAATCATGTTGTGTAGGTTGCGAGTTAGAGTTATTGACATCGTCGTGTTTTGATGTTGAAATCTGATTTATAGCAGAAGTGAGGCTTGAAATCTGAGATTTGAGATTAGAAATTTCGCTTTTTTCAGTGGGAGAGCTAGAAACTGCATTTTCAAATATCATCTCACGGTATCCACATGTTTCGGCCATTTTAGCAGACGTTTAAGCGGCGGACAAATCGGACGGCTGACCAGCCCGTACGAAAAATGCCATTTTCTCTGGTAGGCCCTCTATGAATCTAGCTAAAACCTCATGATCAGGTTTGTGTAAAAGGTATCCCTTTTCAAGGATTTGACTATGGAAATCTTCAAGCTGTTGTGATTTTCCTAATTTAAGGGTGTTAAAAATTTGACCCTCCATCATGGCCATAGCGCTGTGATTTTTAAAATTTGTGAATTTTTCTTCAAACAAAACTTCGATGGCGTTCCAGGATTCTTTTGATCTTTCACTCAGGGTATTTAACCAGGTTAATGCTGGACCTTTTAAATGAAGATGAAACGCGGCTACTTTTTTCCCGTCAAAATCACGAAGATCGTGCAAAAGGGCATATATGACTTAAATTCCGATAAAAATTTCTTTGCGTTATCCTGGGAATAACCCGAAAATGTTGAGCAGTTGGCAAGTTTTTCCAGTTTGGCAAACGAGTTTGAGCTTTTTGGAAGCGATGAATCTAAATTGTAGAATGCAATTTTAGCGTGGAACTTTTCCTTGGTGTTGGTAGGGAGAGAAAAATGTCATGTTCTTTAAATTCGTTAAATTCTAGAAAATCTGGAGTTAAAATAGTATTATCAAAATCATCTTCATTTTGATACAAAAACGTAGATTCAGCGGTGTTATTAATTTCAACGGAAGAAAAATCAATCCCTTGACTACTCATGTCAATTACAGTTCAAATTGTAGCGTACCAATGTACACATACAGAAAAGGTTATTCATCCCTTGCATTTTGAGCGCAGATTCCCACACATATATACCTAACTCTGAACTGGAATATTATTGTAGCTCGACAATTTGCACATACAATTATTAAGTATAGTAATAAACGTACTTACAGATAACTTGAGTTGAATCTTTTAAATAAATCCCTTTCCAGACAGAATTCTCTGGTATTATAACTAAATACAGTACATATTAAATACGCAAAAAAGTTTTAACAACCAAAATCTTGATAGCTCTGGACGCGGGTGAATACCATCATAATATCCAGTAAAAGTGTAACTAGAAAACGTATGTTTTCGTTTTCCTTGTTTCCGTGTTTGCACTAAATCATTTGACAAACTTGGAGAATGTACATGTAAAATACGATTGATGTCACGAATATAAGTATTCAACTGCTCAATTTGAGTATGTAGACACACACATCATCTTCACGAAATTGTTCAGGATTTGAATGATTATGAAAAACGTTCCACCAATAAATAGAACATACCGGAACTTCAATATAAATTAGTTTGACCTTTTCGAAATTACGAACGAAAAAGTAAATTTCTTTGTAGATCGAATAAATATTATTTACACTGTCATTTCCACTACTTTTCAAAGAAATACGTACTGCCATTTCTTTCCTTCTTTGTTAGATCGTTTATCCCTAACCACACAAACAATGTAATGTTATTATACTGTTTTACAAGTTCTGCTAAATCTTGCTTTAAAAAATTAAAATGTTCCTTTGTAGTAGCTCCAGATTTATAACACCATTTAATTGAATTTCGGAAATTAAGTTGCTCTTGTAAACATCGACCTTACAGTGGCGGATCCAGAGGGGGGCGTAGAGGGCGTACGCCCCCCCTTTGCTTGCACTTTTTTTTTTTTTTTTTTTGGTAAAATGATTAATCAGACTAGACTTCGCGAACTTTGCCATTTCCCGTGTATTCAATTTTTATGCGACAATTCTTTACTTATAAAGATAGTTTTCGCTCGTATTTACTGTAATATATTATTGATTATGTCAAAGTCATGTGATTCGCTACGGTGGAGTTGACCAGTACGTCGAAAAAACGTCACTCAGTCATTTTGAAATTCAAATTACAGTAACACATTGCTTAGGCTGAGGATGACAAGCATGACGCCTTCAAAGCGACAAAGTATTGAGCAAGAACGTATTGACTTCTATTTCACAATTCCAACCATCAGAAAGTAATACTCTATTACACTCTCATGAAAAAAAAGTTCCACAGCAATATTATTTACCTACGAAAACATGTTTAACCCCACACGCGCCAGCCCATTAATAACATTGCTGAAAAGTGATCCCCAGTCAGTAAGCTCTAAATATAGATTTAAAGTCTAAGGTACGGACCATTTGATTTGAGGGGGCAGTCTGAGATATTTCAGAGAAAAAAATCTGACCCTGATTTTTGCTTTAAACAATAATTCTGGCCGTATCTGGATTTAAAACAATAATCTTGTCCACTTTTCTGCTATTAGAAAAAAATATTTTCAACAAAATTATTTAGCATTAAATGAACATGATGAATAAAAAACGGGCGTAATTTTTTTTGGGGGGGGGGGGGGGGGTTGCATGTGAATCCCATATCTGACCGGAATGTCTGTTTCGCCGAACTGATATACTGAATACTTTTTTCAAGGCCCGACTGCAACCTGCTGCTGGGTGTGGCCTATATGTCTTCATGTGTCGACAGTCATTCACAACTTCATTGTCATTTCCGACTCATTAGTAGCCTTTGGTTGATTTGGAACCCCCTCACTTCCCTTGTTGGTTTAAACATTCAGAGTCAACCAAACATTTGGATAAAAATTGCTTGTTTGTCTTTCTTCGTGTCGGTCGTATTGTAAATTTCATTGAATAGCCGTATATCTTGTTTACAACAAGAAATCTGTGAGGTTATGCTAACTAACCATGCATACAACAAACGAAATTGTCTATGTCCAATTTTTACTGACAAATCCCACATCAAATAAATTAATTAGTACATAGCTTTGGATCCATCCAATCATTTTATAATAGACAATTAATGGAGAGAATACGGCACCAAAAATGTCCAACCCCTACACTTTAACTATAAAATGCATTTTACACTTATTTTATGTTTTTTAGTCAAAAAAAGGCCCAAAAAAAATTTCGCCTCGCTCCGCTCGGCAAACTTCATGACTACGCCCCCCTTTCCAAAATCCTGGATCCGCCCCTGATGTTCCCTTAACGGATTAGTTTTTAAAATGTTAACATATTCACAATTTATTCAAAATTTAAAATGTTGTAAAGAAATCAACCACCATAACGTTGCACATGCACAAAAAGCAATGTCTAGCTTAATAAAATCTATGAACTATTTTGGTTGTTGAATTTACTGGATAGAGTTTATGTTTTAAAAGTCATGCAAAATAAGCCTAGTAGAGCAAGCCTAAAAAACTTTGTAAAAATGGCGTTCCATAGGTATTTAATCGTGATTATCGCCCTTTTATTGTGGTTTTATTTTCACTTCCGGCTTATGTATGGGTACTGTTGAATGAAAACGTTGAATCTATTTTTTTTTGATTGACCAATACAAAGATATTTGGTAGGTAGACGACGATATTTTGTATTTTATATTTAAAAAGTATGTCGATTTAACAAAATGAATCTCAAAAACAATAAACCTGAGCAATGGACTTTCAGTATAAATTTTTACATCTGAACAATGACAAAAAATATCGATTCCGCGTTAAGGTTCATCTACATCATGTACATGTATACACTTTAACAAAAATGGTTGTGTTTACACCATGAAATTTTCTCTGAGTACAGACAAAACTGTGTAGTTTTAAAAGTTTTAATACCTGGCAGCACCTAGATAAATTAATGTTACATCCAATTTATGTTCTAAAAAGTTAAAACACTTTAGTTTATGCCAAATTATGGATTTTGATGAATATTTTCTTTCCTTGCCACAGAAGATGGTGAAATAATCAAACACCTGAGTTTTCTTTGATACAGTCCACTCATTTACACTTTTTAAATCACCTTTGTAGAGAGTAGATTTCTATTGTCCCGCTTGTCCATTTCAATCAATATGATACAATACAACCATTACCTGAGGGGGACCATCTCAAAGATTTCACATGACTTTGTTTATTTTTACATCACCTGTGGCAAGGAAAGAAAATGTTTAGCAAAATCCACAAAAGTTTTTTTCTTTTTTCAACACAAAATGAATACAACTTGTATATATCTAGGTGCTGCCAGGATTTAAAACTATTAGAATTACAGAGTTTTGTCTGCATTCAGAGAAAATTTCATGGTGTAAAAGCAGCCATTTTTGTAGAAGTGTATAGATGAACCTTAAGGTTCATGACGAATCATGTGGAAACCTATGTTTAGCTACATGTATATGGCTAAAATAGCTGCATTTTCACAAATCCGGGTCCGTTCGCCCAAAAACATGTTCGCGCCCAAAGTCCATTCACACCCTACACATTCGCACCCTTTTTATATTGGTTTTGTGTTTAATAACTTTGTAATCAAGTTTTTGCAAGTGTATTCTTCTAAATATTTTATAGTTACGATACTGTTGTCAGGTCATTAAAGATTGCATATTTTGGCGTTAATATTGATTCACTTATAGGGTCTTTGCATCGGAACTAAACACATTTATTTAAAAACAAGTTGTTGGCATGACATGGGTTATGTTCTTCTCATATATGTTATGATGGTATGATACTAAACCCCTAAAGGGAAGGATTGTGCCTGATATTCATATGATGAAGACATAATATTTCAATCAGTTTAATTGAAGTCTGGAGCTGGCATGTCAGTTAACTGCTAGTAGTCTGTTGTTATTTATGTATCATTGTCATTTTGTTTATTTTCTTTGGTTACATCTTCTGACATCAGACTCCGACTTCTCTTGAACTGAATTTTAATGTGCGTATTGTTATGCGTTTACTTTTCTACATTGGCTAGAGGTATAGGGGGAGGGTTGAGATCTCATAAACATGTTTAACCCCGCCGCATTTTTGCGCCTGTCCCAAGTCAGGAGCCTCTAGCCTTTGTTAGTCTTGTATTTTTTTTAATTTTAGTTTCTTGTGTACAATTTGGAGTTTAGTATGGCGTTCATTATCACTGAACTAGTATATATATTTGTTTAGGGGCCAGCTGAAGGACGCCTCCGGGTGCGGGAATTTCTCGCTGCATTGAAGACCTGTTGGTGACCTTCTGCTGTTGTCTGTTCTATGGTCGGGTTGTTGTCTCTTTGACACATTCCCCATTTCCATTCTCAATTTTATTGTTGTCATTGTCTCAAAACAAAGTGAGACAACGTTTTTTTTTTGTGTTGAATAAATCTTAATCATGTTCATGATGTTTTGGATATTGTATTGTATTGCTATAAAAAAAAAATAAAGTGAAATTTTGACAATGTTTTTTATGCCCCCGCCGTAGTGGTGGGGGCATTAAGTTTTACCCTTGTCCGTACGTCCCAAAATTGGTTTCCGTTCTCTAACTTGAGTTTGCCTCAATCAAATGTTATGAAACTTATAAACAATGCTTATTACCACAAAACACAGATCAAGTTTGAATTTTGGTAGCGTCACTTTAACGATTCTAGAGTTATGCCCCTTTATAAATGGAAAAATTGCAAAATTTTTAGTTTCTGTTCTCTAACTTAAGTTTGCCTCAACCAAATGTTATGAAACTTATACACAATGCTTATTACCACAAAACACAGATCAAGTTTGAAATTTGGTGGCGTCACTGTAACTGTTCTAGACTTATGCCCCTTTATGAATGGAAAAATTGCAAAAATTTTATTTTATTCTAAATATCAAGTAATTTTTATACGCCCGTTTACGGGACGTATGTCGTATTATGGTACATGTATACCGTTGTCCTTCTGTCTGTCCGACCGTCTGTCCGTCGTCAACATGTTGGACATTAACTCAAAAATGCTTTTACCAATTTGCATAAAACTTTGGTGAATTGTTTATATCTATTGACGTGAGCTCCCTTTCATTTTTTATAAAATTTAGATTTTACGTTTCCGAGTTATGGGGTTTTATTCATTAAAAAAAGGGGGATTTTCCAGTTTTCAGACAATAAGTCAAGAATGCTTTCACCAACTTGCAAGAAATTGTGGTGAATTGTTTATATCTATTGACATAAGCTCCCTTTCCATTTTAATAAATTTTAAATTTAACGTTTCTGAGTTACAGGGTTTATTCATAAAAAAGGGGGGATTTTCCAGTTTTCGGACAAAAACTCCATATTCTTTCAGCAATTCGTATGAAACTTTGGTGAATTGTTTGTATGTATTGATGTAAGCTCCCTTTAGAATTTTATAAATTTTACATTTTACATTTCTGAGTTATTGGGTTTTATTCATTAAAAAAATGGGTGATTTTCCAGTTTTCGGACAATAACTCAAAAATGCTGTCACCAATTCTCATGAAACTTTGGTGAATTGTTTATATCTATTGATGTAAGCTCCCTTTTTATTTCCATAAATTTCTAATATGACATTGAGAATTAATTGAACTTTATTTGTTTATAGTCTGACAACAGATTTACTAAGTATTGGGGACTATTGCACAACAGCAAGAAATCTTTAATTGAATATAAATTCAATTCATATAACCAATTTCAAGTTCTTTGACTACATTTATTCAGAAACCTATAATATGTCAAATATTTAATTACAATCCAAATTCAGACCTGAATCAAGCTTGAATATTGTGTCCATTTTTGCCCCAACTGTTCAGGGTTGGACCTCTGTGGGCGTATCCGGCTGCGCTCAGCAAAGCATTTTTTTTTTATTTTGGAGTTATCTTCCTTTGTCCATGATTATAGTTGAATCAACTACAATCAATGCTTTATACAATGCAATGTTTAATTTTGACTTCCACTGATAAAACACAGATCAAGTTGAATTTGGGTAGTGTCACTTTAACCATTATTGAGTTATGCCCCTTTATAAATCGAAAGATTGCAAAATTTTTAGTTTCCATTCTGTAACTTAAGTTTGCCCAAAACCAAACATTATGAAACCTATACACAATATTCATTACCACAAAACTAAGATCAAGTACAATTTTTTTATTTCCGTTTTCTAACTTTAGTTTGCCTCAACCAAATGTTATGAAACTTATACACAATGCTTATTACTACATAATACAGATTAAGTACGAAATTTGGTGGCGACACTTTTACCATTCTTGAGTTATGTCCCTTCATAAACATAAAAATTGCTGAATTTTTTAGTTTGTCTCAACCAAATGTTATAAAACTTATACACAACCGTTCTAGAGTTATGCGTGTTTACAAATAGAAAAATTGCTGAATTTTTAGTTTCTGTTCTCTACTTAAGTTAGCCTCAACCAAATGTTAAGAGACTTACACACAAGGCTTCTTACCACAAAACTCAGATCAAGTTCAAATTTGGATAGCGTCACTTTTATCGTTCTTCAGTTATGTTCCTTTATAACTATATGATATGCAAGCGGGGGCATCATCTGTGTTCACATGTGGACACTATCCACATTTATTTCTCAATCGATTTATGAATTTCGAACAGCTGTATACGACTGTTGTCTTTATTTGAGAACTTCCCCACAGGTAATAATTGAAGTGAGCTGTATTGATTGACATGGACAATAGATACATGTACATGACAATAATTGGTGATTTAAACTGTGTACCTCAGTGGACCATATCAAGTGAAACTCGACTGTTTGTTAATTTTATCATCTTTTGCATGGACAAAAAAAAGTGCACTGCAAAATCCAGTTCAGTTTTGAATTTTCTAAATCATACAATGCATTTGAATTTTATTTATCTAGGGCATGCTATGCCTTAAAACCTTTCCAGATGCACAGGTTTGTGACAATGTCTGTACTCGGAGATGAAGATACAGCAACTCTGAGTCTGAGACAAGTGTACATGAAGACACATTAGACAAATATTAATAATAATGGAAAAAGCCTTTCTCAATAATTTCTCCTCAAAATCTATTAAATCACCCATCTGACTAGATTGGTCAAAATGTTAATGTAACATAAAGCCCTTTTTTTTCAAATACTTATATCCACTATTAAAAATTCAAAATGTAAGATAAAATACTTTTAAATTATTTATATGTACACCGCTAATTAATAAGTTATTATTCAGATTAGACATGTTAGAACACAGATATGTTTATATAACAATAATCAGCCTTATCATTTCTATAAGTGTTAATGACATTGATCACCCTGTAGGGTGTTTATTTAGCAATATGATTTCATAGCAATTGAAATTTACGATTCACTTACATGACTTAAACACTGCAATAAAATGCTTTTTATAAAGATTGGATTATTGAAACAATGCTTGGAAATTAACAAAGTATCCTAAAAAGTGCAAATCTTCTATTCTGCCTACATAGAATTAGTGGAGAAGGGAATAAAATTTCTAATCTTCAAGAAATGACTCTCAATTCAATGGTTATCTGTATAAAATGTATACATTTAGGCCAAAATAAAAAACATGTTTGTTTCCCCTCGGCCCGACCGGGTCAAAAATAAGCCCCGGGTCAAAAAATTATTTGCCCCAAAAAAAAATCGGATTTTTTTTTATTCCCGAAAATTATTAGTTTCCATTTCGACATTGGTTCTGATATTACATGTATTACCAGAAGACTTCTCGGAAATCTCTGGAGTTATCTATCAATTAAGCGGTATGTATCGAGGGTAAACTGTCTGCTTGAAAGATGGGCGACAAGATCGCATTGTCGTCTTCTGTACGAATTAAATACAAGGACGTGTCAAAAGTGTTACCCACCGGCAAGAACAAAAGAGAAATCTGACTTTTGTCAGATATAATCATGTAACATGTGCTTCACCACATGTCATGGACGCTATTTAATTTTGATTATAAATAACTATGATATCATTCCTCGCATGGTCCTATATTTCGGTTTTGTGGTACTATAATTTTCGGTAAGAAATCATTAATTCGGTAAAATAGTGACTTGTTAAATTGTATTTGTATGGTATAAAAATTACAGGAGATATTCAACATTTGTTCAACCAGCACGTTGATAGTTACAACAGGTGATTGATTTACCTGATGAGGGTTACCTGTTGCAGATTGGATTTAATCAATCAATTAGAACTTGTAACTTGTTTCTTTTGTGATTTAATTAATATTGTTGATAAACAACTTAGAAATAATAGGTCTCATGGTAAACGCAAAAACCGTAATCAACGTATTAAACATCGTATAAGTTATACACTTGCTGATCTGTTATCTATAATAAAAAATAATGGCAGACATCAAGTATTATGCAAACTGTGTCCATGGTGTCAGATACCAATAAGTAAATTATATGCTATTTTTCTGGAATGTGATAGAATTTCTTTTTTTAGTTCGTTTTATGAATACACCCGTGTTTCCTAGTATCGATAAACCTGAAAATCATAAATTATATTTTTTTAAATTAAAATACATAAATAGAGGTATTGATTTTATTAACTTATCTAGCATATTCCACGACTCTACCATCTATAGCCAAATACCTCCATATTTTGATAATATAGAACCACCCGTTATTTCGTATTCTTATAAAAAACCCAGCAGAAGTTTGAATTTTAATTATACGTCAGTTACATCAGATGTCAATATAGAAAATAATGTTCCTTCCACTTGAGACTGTGAAACATCTAGTTTTAGATATGTTCCCTATGGTCATGTCATTACAGGAGACCTCAACATCGTTGAAGACCGTGAGGTAAAAACTTTTCTTAAGAAAGGACCGAAATATCGTCCTCCATCTAAAAAAGATTGGAAACAGTGTCATCAGGTCATTAAAGATGCTCTGACTGCCTACTGTAAAAATTGGTGTAAACGTCAAAAATCTGATAAAAAATCCCTAGACAGTTATTTGAATAAAATTATGAATACTGTTAATATTCGTATATCTCATTTTGAAAACAATTCTGAAATTAATAATAGGGTCCATTATATTCCCATTTCTAGAATAAAAAACTTCAAGTAATCGCAAAGCGGTTTGTGTTAGTACCAGCAGACAAGGCAGCCAATAATGTAGTGGTGGTATGACGCATATACATTGTACTACACGGTAGTTCTCCAAAACGAAATTATCAATTCTTCTACATTCAGGTCCGTACGCTCCACAGAGAGTCAAATTGTAAACAAGAAAATCACTGCCACTACCCAGCTTAAAGCCTCTTCCGAACATTTGAAAGTCCCTACCATGTACTGGTTACCTAAATCATTGTAAATTGCACAAAAAACCATTTAAATTCCGTTTCAACGCCACATCTAGTAAGTGTTATACTACTAATCTATCAGTGCTTCCAACTACCTCCCTAAATACTATCAAAGAACTTGTTATTAACTTTTGTAATAAAGCTTATGAAAATAATGGTATGAATTATTTTCGGAGTGTTAAAAATTCTTTAGAGGTTTTAGATAAAATACATGCTTTTGATGGTCCTTTTAATTCTGTTGACAGTTATGATTTTTCTTCATTTTACGTTTCCAAGTCTGACAGGGTTTTATTTAAAAAAAAAAGGGGGATTTTCCAGTTTTTGGACAGTACATTGTAACTCAGAAACACTTTCATAAGGTCTCATTAAATTTTAGTGAATAGTTTATATCTATTGAAGTAAGTTCTTTTTCTATTTTTATAAATTTTAGATGTTATGTTTGACAGTCAGAGATATAACTCTATAGGGATATTACAGAACATAACTTGTGTGTGTTATTACAGAGACTTTCATGAGTTGTCTACTCTTTATTCCTTTAATTTTCTAAATCTGCAATAACATGTTTGTTATTTTTAAAATAAATCAAAAGTGTTTTGATTTATAATGGGCTCTAGGGAACTCTTGAGACTTTGCGCAGAAACTAAATGCATAGCCTTGATAATTATTTTTTTAATAAATTAACCATTGTAAATCAATGAGACGAGGCTTTTAAGGGATAAACTTAGCTGTTATAACATAGCTTAGTTATTAAAGGAATGTAACTTATTATATGAGACACTTGGGAATTACTGGGAAGCTTGCGCAGAACCTCATTACATGCTCTAGTCATTATTTCTTACAATAAATTAAAATACATTGTAATTAAGCATGATGTTTGTCTGAGAAAATGCTTTTGGAGTGATATAGAGAAGCTGTGATAACACCCTTTAGTTATTACAGGCAAATTTTTTCTGTAATAACATATAGGTGTACTATGCAAAATTGGCAATCTATGAACTGTTATATCTTTCTATAGTTAAGTATACATAAAGACAATAGTAATATCAATAGAACTTGTATGCATTTTAACTAAACTAGTGATGTATATTGTCCCTTTGAAACATTTAACATACATATGTTATCACAGTTCTTTGATTTTTTAGTCCACAATAACAAATGTATGTTATTTTTCTGTAATAACCCTATAGAGTTATATCCCTGACTGTTTGAGTTGTGGGGTTGCATTCATTAAAAAAGGGGGGATTTTCCAGTCTTGATTTTAATGAATTTCTGATACATTTGTTCATGTATGACATTGAGAAGTTATTAAACTTTATTCTTTGAAAACAGGACGGGCGTATCATGCGCTCATGGCGCTGCTGTTTATTTTATATTTACATGCAAGTTATGCTTGTTGTTCTTTAAAATTGTACTTCACCATTGTAAATTGTTGAATGTAAAGATTGAAATATAACTGGTTTTTTGTCGAGCCTGCGACTTTTGTCGCAGAAAGCTCGACATAGGGATAGCGATCCGGCGGCGGCGGCGGCGGCTACGGCGGCGGCGTTAGCTAACTTTTTAAAAGCTTTATATTTTAGAAGATGGAAGACCTGGATGCTTCATACTTTGTATATGGATGCCTCATGTTACGAAGTTTCAGTCAGTCACATGTCCAATGTCCTTGACCTCATTTTCATGGTTCAGTGACTACTTGAAAAAAAAGTTCAGATTTTTTGTAATGTTAAATTCTCTCTTATTATAAGTAATAGGATAACTATATTTGGTATGTGCGTACCTTGCAAGGTCCTCATGCCCGTCAGACAGTTTTCACTTGACCTCGACCTCATTTCATGGATCAGTGAACAAGGTTAAGTTTTCGTGGTCAAGTCCATATCTCAGATACTATAAGCAATAGGTCTAGTATATTCAGTGTATGGAAGGACTGTAAGGTGTACATGTCCAACTGGCAGGTGTCATCTGACCTTGACCTCATTTTCATGGTTCAGTGGTTATAGTTAAGTTTTTGTGTTTTGGTCTGTTTTTCTTATACTGTATGCAATAGGTCTACTATATTTGGTGTATGGAATGATTGTAAGGTGTACATGTCTAGCTGGCAGGTGTCATCTGACTTTGACCTCATTTTCATGGTTCAGTGGTCAAAGTTAAGTTTTTGAGTTTTGGTCTTTTTTTCTAATACTGCATGCAATAGGTCAGCTATATTTGGTGTATGGAATGATTGTAAGGTGTACATGTCTAGCTGGCAGGTGTCATCTTACCTTGACCTCATTTTCATGGTTCAGTGGTCAAAGTTAAGTTTTTGAGTTTTGGTCTTTTTTTCTAATACTATATGCAATAGTTCAACTATATTTGGTGTATGGAAATATTTTATGATCTATATGTCAGTCACGCAGGTTTTATTTGACCTTGACCTCATTTTCAAGGTTCATTGCTCAGTGTTAAGTTTTTGTGTTTTCGTCTGTTTTTCTTAAACTATAAGCAATAGGTCAACTATATTTGTTGTATGGAAGAATTGTTAGCTGTACATGCCTGCCTAGCATGGTTCATCTGACCTTGACCTCATTTTCATGGTTCATTGGTCAATGTTTAGTTTACTTGGTTAATGTTAAGTTTATGTGACAGTTGTAATAAAGCTTTATATTTAGGACTATCAACATAATATCAATGATTAGTAAAGAAGGCGAGACATTTCAGCATGTGCACTCTTGTTTTTTATTAGGAAATAAAAAGTGTCTTAACAGATGAAAAATGCCACGAAGAAAGAAAAAATCAAATGCTGTTATAAGGCGTGAAGACAGAGAAAGAAAAAGAAAACAGGTAAGAATTGTCTTTTTTTTTTTTTTTTTTTTCTTTTTTTCTTTCTTTTTTATTTTTAAAGAATTGTTTCAGCATATGTCACATGTATTGTAAATACAAAGAGAAGATCTGGAGATAAACATATCATATAGTTAAAAAAGGAAGAAAAAACATCTATGGCTTAAACAATGGCTAACATATACATGATATACATGATATAATAACTAAAAAATAAAAAAAATATTTTTATTATAGCTTGTGTGTAAAAACGTAAATTTGTTATATTAAATTGTTTCCTTTATTTGCAGATTTGCAGCAAACATGAAAGTTCTAATTCCTGTATAAGTATGAATACTGTGAAAGAATTTCCTCAAAGGGAACAATTAGTGAAAGCAAAAATAAAAAAAACTTGTTGCAAAACGTCAGAAACAGAAGATTCCTTTAATCAAATTGACAACCAATCAACTTCTAAGACGCAGGCATCACCGAGCAAAAAGATTGTAACACATTTGATGTCAGACCAATCGCTGAAGGAATTACAACCTGTAAAAGGCCATCAACAAACTACTAAAGACACAAAGACAGAATTCATGCTGAAGAGAACATTACAAACAACACATAGTGTAACATCAAATATGTTTATACAGGGTATTGAAAACCAGTCTGAAATCCAAACCAATCCATTAAGGAAGAGAAAGAGTGACACAATCATAACTGACAGTGCAATGATACCACAAAAAAAGAATGAATCAATTGATGATGAAAGGTTGGAGGACATAGAAGAAGTACAGGTAAGAATCATTTTACATTGTCATTGTTAACACAAAGTAAGATCAGGAGATAAACATGATAAACATGATAAACATGATCATGATGATAAACATGATAAACATGATCATGATGATAAACATGATAAACATAGAACATCTTTACTGTGGATTCACTTATTTTTGTGTCATGGGTACCTATTTTCATGGATTAAGGAACACTTACATGCTCGTTGATATTTAATTTTGTGGTTTTGTCAAAGTTTGCATACAAGCCAATAGGAAATATCTCATTCGTTGATCCTTTAATTTCGTAGCTACATGTAGCCTTTACCCACAATATCCACGAAAATTGATATCCAACAAATAATAATGAATCCACAGTATATAATTTAAAAAAGAAGAAAGAAAATATCTATAGCTCAAACAATTAACAAGGGCCAAAATGTGCAAGCTAAATAGACCCCCATGCAGGAAAAAAAACAAAAAAACAAAACAAATTAAAGAGAAATCTACTAATTACCAGTCTTTTATTGACAAGAATAAAAGGAAGAACTGAAGTTTATTTGACAAACTTTGGCTCATAAAATTAAATAAAATGAAATGAAATGACAACTTTTCTTTTTATTCGTGATCAATAAAATTGAAAAGTTTACTGAATGAAGATCATAAAATCAAATATATGGCATGAGGTTTCCATGCAATGCAAGTTATTATTTCCTTACAGGCAAAGTTGAAGGGGACTTTAGGTTTGCACTCCCTCTGTTCCTCTGTCCATTGGTCGTTCACACAAATCGGTTTTCCACACTTTTTTTCTTCGTCATGTTCGTTCTTTAAGATATTGATTTGATATTTGGTATATAGTTTTATCATGACAAGTTACAGATCAAGTTCAAATTTTCACTGTGACCAAATAAGGAGATGTAGTATGATCGCCATTGAGTCAACCATCCATAAGTGACCAAATAAGGAGATGTGGTATGATCGCCAATGAGTCAAGCATCCATACGTGACCAAATAAGGAGATGTGGTATGATCGCCATTGAGTCAACCATCAATAAGTGACCAAATAAGGAGATGTGGTATGATAGCCATTGAGTCAACCATCAATAAGTGACCAAATAAGGAGATGTGGTATTATCGCCAATGAGTCAACCATCCATAAGTGACCAAATAAGGAGATGTGGTATGATCGCCATTGAGTCAACCATCCATAAGTGACCAAATAAGGAGATGCGGTATGATTGCCAATGAGTCAAGCATCCATAGATGACCTAACAAGGAGATGTGGTATGATCGCCATTGAGTCAACCATCCATAAGTGACCAAATAAGGAGATGTGGTATGATAGCCATTGAGTCAACCATCAATAAGTGACCAAATAAGAAGATGTGGTATGATTGCCAATGAGTTAACCATCCATAAGTGACCAAATAAGGAGATGTGGTATGATCGCCAATGAGTCAACCATCCATAAGTGACCAAATAAGGAGATGTGGTATGATCGCCATTGAGGCAACCCAGGGATGATTCTACTATATAGTTAGGGCCGCTTAAAGGCCCTAAAATCGGCCAGCGGCCCAAAAAATTTATGTGAATATAAATATGTAATTCAGGAAAAATAAAATAAAAATCGTTATTTCCGGAAATGTTTCCGTTTCCGATTTAGGCAACTATTATGTTTTTAAAGTTTTTCGTCAAAGCGTTTTAAAATCCATATGACATGGGTGAGAATGCTGTCAACAATCACGTTTTATTAACAACGATTTAATTATGTCAGCATGTGGTAAACGATTTTAGCAGCCGGATTCAATTGATTAAAATGAAATGGGAGTATTTGATCTTGTAAAAGCAGATCACCCAGCAGGTCGATAAACAAGATGCTTTTTGTCAAAATGGGTCTCATTAAAGCAGATCTCGGCAGAGAGCCAAATTTCATTTTAGATATAACATTTATGAATAAGTTTTAACATGTTTAATGGGCACCGATCTCGTAAAAGCAGATCGCCCAGCAGAGCCGGTATATGATATGATGAAAAACTTTTTTTTTGTAAAAGAAATTAATTTATATTTTGTCAGTCTCTATTTCCCATATTTCCTCAAAAGACAAACGATTGAGCGTTTTGAAAATACATGTGGACGATAGATCATTCTTGAACATTATGGAACTGTTTCAAAAGTTGTGAAGATGATCCAAAATGAAATAATATTAAAATACAATTGTTCAATGCTTCAATTTCCTGTTTCTAAGGGCTACACATAAAGTAAAAGTATGGCAAACTTCTACATATTAAACAGCAAGCAAAAATCACAAAAATAATACTTGAACTTTTGTAATTGCTTTTCTGAATTCGACAATTGGCCAGTACAATTTGAAATCCATTTGAATCAAGGTAAATTTATAAAGATGACCTGTTGTTGAAAAATATACCCAATGGATGATTTTTTCAGTGGTTTATGTTAGCTGTTATATATGTAAAAGGCCTAGGTTACCATAGCTAAGAGAAGATAGTGCCACTGCATCTGTCGCCATCATGTGCAATGATCTTCATGTAACAACTTCCCTGGTCTCAAACCAATAACTGTCAAGCGATCTGGTAATCATATATATCGATCATAATCAGTAGCCCATCCAGGATTATTATAAAAATGTTACAAATTATTACAGCAGTGTACAGGTGAAACCTAATATTTACAGGAAAATAATGTTATTTCGTCTTAGTTTTTATGCATGAAAATTTCCCAATTAAGATGAAAATTCCCAATTTGATGGTCAAGGGACCCATTTGAAAACACCTGAAATCATCCCTGCAACCATCCATAAGTGACCAAATAAGGAGATGTAGTATGATCGCCATTGAGTCAACAATCAATAAGTGACCAAATAAGGAGATGTGGTATGATCGCCAATGAGTCAACCATCCATAAATGACCAAATAAGGAGATGTAGTATGATTGCCATTGAGTCAACCATCAATAAGTGACCAAATAAGGAGATGTGGTATGATCGCCAATGAGTCAACCATCAATAAGTGACCAAATGAGGAGATATGGTATGATCCCCAATGAGTCAACCATCCATAAGTGACCAAATACGGAGATGTGGTATGATTGCCATTGGGTCAACCATCAATAAGTGACCAAATGAGGAGATGTGGTATGATCCCCAATGAGTCAGCCATCCATAAGTGACCAAATAAGGAGATGTGGTATGATTGCCATTGGGTCAACCATCAATAAGTGACCAAATGAGGAGATGTGGTATGATCCCCAATGAGTCAACCATCCATAAGTGACCAAATAAGGAGATGTGGTATGATGGCCATTGGGTCAACCATCAATAAGTGACCAAATAAGGAGATGTGGTATGATGGCCATTGGGTCAACCATCAATAAGTGACCAAATAAGGAGATGTGGTATGATCGCCAATGAGTCAACCATCCATAAGTGACCAAATAAGGAGATGTGGTATGATCCCCAATGAGTCAACCATCCATACATTTTTTGTAAGTGACCAAATAAGGAGATGTGGTATGATCCCCAATGAGTCAACCATCCATAAGTGACCAAATTACATAAATGTAGTTTGTGGTAAGAAAGTAAAACACAATTAAGGTCGAAAATACTTCCAAGATGTTCAAGATAGAGAACAATGGACTGTCAAAGAAGAAAGATGGGAAAATGTGAGAAGAATTGGAAGAAAATAACTTAATAATAATGATAATTGTAAAAATTAGAATTTAAGGACAACCATGACAACCATCCAGACTCTCACATTTGCTTGACAATGCTAGAGAATAAAAACTAAAAATGTGTTGTCGTTGTTAGGCCAGAGAAAAATATATGTGTGGTTCCAGTTTCCCTACCTAACCTACTTTTTAATCCTAATAATAGCCGTTCTTAAAGATTTTTTTGTCGTTTTTCATAAGCAATGTTAAAGTCAAATGTTTCTCCTATAGACTCAAGGAAAAAAAAAATCATGAAAAAAAAATTCCCTAATAAGCATTTTGTTTTTAGATATAACTGAAACCACACATATTTGGCCTTATGAAAATTTAAATACATAATTTGTGTTACAGATGTACATAAGAACACATGCTGAAGATGAACATAGTAACTATGAGGAATGTAGTAATGAGTTTAGTCCGTTAGATCATCCACAGGAACAGAGAAGAACGCTCATAAGAACACACACTGGAGAAATGTTCCATGACTGTGATTTATGTGGCAAGGAGTTTCGTAGCAGATATGACTTACAGATACACATGAGATCACACACTGGATTCAAACCTTATAAATGTCTGATATGCTGTAAAGACTTCAGTGTGAAAAGTAGCTTTAGCATACACATGAGGAGACATAAAGAGAAGGGAAATAACCTTTCAGATTTGCAAGTATGATTTTCATGATTAATTTTTCTTTTCTTTGGTAAATTGTTTGAAGAATTTTATGGTGTGTTTGTTATTCTATAAAAACTTATTTTCTAAGTGATATATGAATACCACATCTTCTTATATCTATAAATGTTTTGTTGTGTCTGTTAATTTTAATTTTTACTTGATCCTGTTTGGGTTCCAGATTTGAAAATTCATTAGATAATAATCTATTATTTATAAGCTAAAAAGTTAAAATTAAGATAAAATAAGTTGCAGGATTATACTAGTATGTTACAAATGAAAGAAAAAATATTGGGACCTATCAACGATATATATGAAGTTTGATTTTGATTTATACACAAAGAGATAAGATAACACACACCTGGTAATTGTCAATGCAATCACCCAATTATAATTGGAGTGACAGATTTATTAGAAAACTATTAATTATATTTGATTATAATTTAAAAATAAATATAGCATCATATCTCTTTACATCATATCTAATTTTAGAGTCTATGGATAAATCATATTCAATTTTATATTTACATTTGAACAGAAATGGTTAAACTGAGACATATTTCATCAAAAATTGAATTCTTGGGGTTCTTTGATATCTATGCTGATTCTAGCAATGCACTTAGATTTTGGATATATGACCATAATAGGTTATTTCAATTTCAAATTTTTGAGTTCTTTGACCACATTTAATTTGTGTCACAAATCCATGCTGTATCAAATATTCAATCACAGTCCAAATTCAGAGCTGTTTTAAGATTAAATGTTGTGTCCATACTTGCTCAACTGTTCAGGGTTTGACCTCTGCAGAAGAATTAGGTGTGCTGTCACTCAGACAGCCTCTTGGTTGGTCATATTGTTTATTTTGCATATTGGAATCAAAAAAGACCTTTGAAAGGAACTTATTATTTAGATGATACAGAACAAAATTACTTATACTGGAAATGACTTCGATAATTTACTTTTAGAATAGACAAAAAAAATAACAAATGTTTTAACATTAAATATAATGAAATTTTTTTATATCTGACAATGCTAGGGAATAAAACTAAAAATGTGTTGTCATTGTTAGGCCAAATAAAAATATATGTGTGGTTCCAGTTACCCTACCTACCCTACTTTTTAATCCTAATAATAGCCGTGCCTAAAGATAATTTTTAGTCATTTTTCATTAAACAATGTTAAAGTCCAAATGTTTCTGCTATAGACTCAATGTAAAAAAAACACCCGTAAAATAAAAAAAAAACCTACCTTAATATTTTGTTTTTAGATGTAACTGGAACCACATATACTTGCCCTTATGAAAATTTTGATGTATACATAATTTGTGTTACAGATGTACATAAGAACACATGCTGAAGATGAATATAGTAACTATGAGGAATGTAGTAATGAGTTTAGTCAGTTCGATCACCCACAGGAACAGACAAGAATGCACATAAGAACACTCACAAGAACACACCCACTATTAAAAACTGGAGAAATGTTCCATGACTGTGATTTATGTGGCAATGAGTTTCGTAGCAGATTTGCCTTACGGATACACATGAGATCACACACTGGATTCAAACCTTATAAATGTGGGATATGCGGTAAAGACTTCAGTGTGAAAAGTAGCTTGAAAATACACATGAAAATACATGAAAAGAAACCTTACACATGTGATATATGTGGTAGAGGGTTTACACAGTCTCATGACTTACAGACACACATGAGAATGCATACTAGTGATACACTTCAGAATTGTTTTGTATGCGGTAAAAGCTTTAGTAAGACAACTAACATGAGTGCACATATGGGCACACACACTTGTGATAAAAATCATAAGTGTGGAGTATGTGGAAAAGGATTTATTGAGAATAAAGGCTTACATAGACATTTGAAAACACATACTGGAGATTAACTTCATTACGCATTTATCATGTTTATAAATGTTTGGAAAAACATATTTTTGTTCTCTCGAATTCGTAGCTTAAATGTGAAGTATGTGGAAAAAAATTTATTCAGAATAAAAGCTTTAAGAAACATTTGAAAACACATACCATGCATACTGGGGATTAACTTCATTCCGCATTTATAAATGTTTGGAAAAAAACTTTTTTGTTCTCTTGAATTCGTAGCTTATTACCATTTAAAGAGACATATGACAACGAATACTGGGGATTAAATTCATACTTCATATTACTTCAAATTCCAGCTCTAAACACCGTATCTTCAAAGATTATTAGATACTGTTTAAAGGGGAATAATCCTTACATAAATTATTGATTGTCTCCCATATTACTTCATATTCCAGCTCTGAACACCATATCTTCAAAGATTTATAGATACTGTTTAAAGGGGAATAATCCTTACATAAATTATTGATTGTCTCCCATATTACTTCATATTCCAGCTCTGAACACCATATCTTCAAAGATTTATAGATACTGTTTAAAGGGGAATAATCCTTACATAAATTATTGATTGTCTCCCATATTACTTCATATTCCAGCTCTGAACACCATATCTTCAAAGATTATTAGATACTGTTTAAAGGGGAATAATCCTTACATAAATTATTGATTGTCTCCCATATTACTTCATATTCCAGCTCTGAACACCATATCTTCAAAGATTTATAGATACTGTTTAAAGGGGAATAATCCTTACATATATTATTGATTGTCTCCCATATTACTTCATATTCCAGCTCTGAACACAATATCTTCAAAGATTTATAGATACTGTTTAAAGGGGAATAATCCTTACATAAATTATTGATTGTCTCCCATATAACTTTCTCTTCCATGTGCATACAATAACTGTTCAGTGTTCTATTGTGGTGTGTTGTATTTTATTTTATTATTATTTCATTGTTATAACAAAAATCATTGTAATCATTGTATGAAATTTAAAACCCGCAAGGGTCCATAATTGGATTAATAAAGTATTCTTATTCTTCTTATTCTTAATCTTATTAACACCCAGTCAGTCTATTAATAAACTTCATAAATATGTTGTTTTGGGTAGAGACTAAAGTACTAACAAGAAACTTTTTATCTCAAGTTTCTTGGACCAGAAAGGGGGTGTGCACAATACACAAATGCGCACTACATACCCCAAAAGACGGTATGAGTTAAACCATACAACATATGCTAGAGAGACACAATAAATGTGAAGTATGAGGAAAGGAATAAGACCCAATCAAAGCTTAGAGAGTCATATATTAGAACTCATTATAGTGATACATGTATATGAGATGAAGAATTGTCCAATCTTACAAAAATGAATGAGAACGCTCACCAGTCTTTGTTTATTTAATGCAAGCTGTTATAAAACATATCTGCTATTTGACAAAACAACTCGCCTAAAATTTAAAATTTATGAACAATTATTTAATGTTAAACAGTCATGACATTTGTATATGTATATTCAGATAATCTAATAAATGTAATTAACAATGTAAAAGTTTCAGCCCTATGATTCAGATATTGGTTGTAGTTTTCACTTACAGGGACACAATGCAAGGGTATTTAGACTGAAGATAAAAGTGAATTTTACATGTAGAAATGTGCTGTTTTCATCCTTAGTCTGAGGTGGGGGAACTTTATTTATTCATGTGCTGAAATTTGTCTTAACTTACTTTCAGCAAAGGCGAGTTCTCTCAGATCATTTCTTTTTCTTTTGAAGAGCTTTGTTTGTAGTCATCGTCCGGTCGTCTACTCTAATACCACTTTGAGGTGAATTATCCTCTTGATAATTTATATATAGATCATGTTTTTTACCTATCAGCTCACATGAATACTAGGGTTGAAATAGAAAAAAATATTACGGTTGTTACTTGAAAATCATAATAGATAGAGAAAATCTGACTACAAAATGCTAGGATTTTGAGATTTTTGTATGGCTCGCGAGACACTGTTATGCTTCAGCATTGGCGACGACGGAGTAAACTTGGTAAAAAAACTTAATTTACATGTTTAAAGAGACATATATTAGAACTCATAATAGTAAAATATATATGTGATAAAGAATTACATATAGCACACCTAGGTTCATCACAATTTGCATATTGATACCTCATAAAACCAAGTTTCCACCTGTCATATGTCCCTTTTTCTTGTCCTTAGGGAGCTACCATTTGATATTTATGGGGGGTCTAGGATGAAAAATTTTGTCCTGCCTTTTTGTTATGCCCCCGCCGTTGTGGTGGGGGCATTAAATTTTACGCTTGTCTGTCTATACATACGTACGTCCCCAAATTGGTTGCCGTTCTCTAACTTGAGTTTGCCTCAACCAAATGTTATGAAACTTATACACAATGCTTATTACCACAAAACACAGATCAAGTTTGAATTTTGGTGGCGTCACTTAAACCGTTCTAGAGTTATGCCCCTTTATAAATTGAAAAATTGCAAAATTTTTAGTTTCCGTTCTCTAACTTAAGTTTGCCTCAACCAAATGTTATGAAACTTATACCCACAATGCTTATTACCACAAAACACACATCAAGTTTGAATTTTGGTGGCGTCACTTTAACCGTTCTAGAGTTATTCCCCTTTATAGATGGAAAAATTGCAAAATTTTTATTTTCTTCTAAATATCAAGTAATATTTTTACGACCGCAAAAAAATTTTGCGGTCATATATTGGTATGACGTTGGCATCGTCATCATCGTCCCAAGACACATTGGTTTTAGCACTCCTAGTTGCCAGACAATAACTTGTGTTCAAGTGTATGGATCTCTCTGAAATTGTACTGCAAGGTATCATACAACAAAGGGAAGGCTGGGATTAATTTTGGGGGTAAATGCCTCAAAATTTTAAGAATTAGGGGCCAAAAAGGGGCAAAAAAACAAGCATTTTTCTAGTTTCAGGACAATAACTTGTGTGTTAGAGTATGGATCTTTATAAAATTGTACTACAAGGTTCTATATCACAAAGGGAAAGCTGGGTTTGAGTTTGGGGTAATTGCCCTGAACGTTTAGGAATTTGGGGCCAAAAAGGGGCCAAAAAACAAGCGATTTTCTAGTTTCCAGAAAATAACTTGTGTTCAAGTGTACAGATCTCTCTGAAATTGTACTGCAAGGTACCATACCACAAAGGGAAGGCTGGGATTGATTTTGGGGGTACATGCCTCAAAATTTTAGGAATTAGGGGCCAAAAAGGGGCAAAAAACAAGCATTTTTCTAGTTTCAGGACAATAACGTGTGTGTAAGTGTATGGATCTTGATGAAATTGTACTACATGGTTTCATATCACAAAGGGAAGGCTGGGATTGATTTTGGGGGAATTGTCTCAAAATTTAAGGAATTAGGGGCCAAAAACAAGCATTTTTCTAGTTTCAGGACAATAACGTGTGTGTAAGTGTATGGATCTTTATGAAATTGTACTACAAGGTTCCATATCACAAAGGGAAAGCTGGGTTTGAGTTTGGGGGTAATTGCCCTAAACGTTTAGGAATTTGGGGCCAAAAAGGGGCCAAAAAACAAGCATTTTTCTAGTTTCCAGACAATAACTTGTGTTCAAGTGTACGGATCTCTCTGAAATTGTACTGCAAGGTACCATACCACAAAGAAAGGCTGGGATTGATTTTGGGGGTGATGAATCATAAGGGGGTTCAAAAAGTTTGGGGGAGGGATTTTTTTTTCCTTTTTTTTTCTTTAAAATTTTCCATTTTTTATTTTCTGATTTATATATAAACGCAAATAATAATGACATGGTTTGAATAGGTAAATTAAAAATTTTTAAGTTCTTAGACCACATTCAGTCTGTGTCAGAAACCTATGTTGTATCAAATATTTAATCACAATCCAAATTCAGTGCTGTATCAAGCTTGAATGTTGTGTCCATATTTGCCCCAACTGTTCAGTGTACGACCTTTGCGGTTGTATCAAGCTGCGCCCAGCGGAGAATTTTATTTTTCTTTAAAATTTTTCATTTTAAATTGGATATTTCTGATTTATATATAAAAGCAAATAATAATGATATGGTTTGAATAGGTAAATTAAAATTTTTTAAGTTCTTAGACCACATTCATTCTGTGTCAGAAACCTATGTTGTGTCAAATATTTAATCACAATCCAAATTCAGTGCTGTATCAAGCTTGAATGTTGAGTCCATACTTGCCCCAACTGTTCAGGGTTCGACCTCTGCGGTCGTATCAAGCTGCTCCCAGCGGAGCATTTTATTTGAATTGGAGTTATCTTCCTTTGTCCATGATTATAGTTGAATCAACTACAATCAATGTTTTATACAATGCAATGTTTAATTTTGACTTCCACTGATAAAACACAGATCAAGTTGAATTTGGGTAGTGTCACTTTAACCATTATTGAGTTATGCCCCTTTATAAATCGAAATATTGCAAAATTTTTAGTTTCTATTCTGTAACTTAAGTTTGCCCCAACCAAACATTATGAAATCTATACACAATGTTCATTACCATAAAACTAAGATCAAGTACAAATTGTTTGTTTCCGTTTTTAACCGGATTTTCGAAGGAAATATCGGTTATTAAAATGGTGATGTACGGGGGCGGCTGGGCGGATCTACGGGCGGCTGCCAAACAGTGTCAGCACAATTACATGAAAACGCTTTAACAATTTTTTTTTAAATTTAAATATGTTGCTTCCTGGGACTTAATGAAGGTCTAGTTCAATTTTCAAGATATTAGTATATCTCTATCGTGAGTTATTGCCATTTTTGTCGCGCCTTCGACTTTTGTCGAAAAAGCGAGACATAGCGATCCTACATTCCGTCGGCGTCGTCGTCGTCGGCGGCGTCCACAAATATTCACTCTGTGGTTAAAGTTTTTGAAATTTAAATAACTTTCTTAAACTATCCTGGATTTCTACCAAACTTGGACAAAGCTTGTTTATGATCATAAGATTATATTCAAAAGTAAATTTTGTAAAAAAAAAAATCCATTTTTTCCGTATTTTACTTATAAATGGACTTAGTTTTTCTGCCAGGAAACATAACATTCACTCTGTGGTTAAAGTTTTTCAAATTTTAATAACTTTCTTAAACTATCCTGGATTTCTACCACACTTGGAAAGAAGCTTGTTTATGATCATAAGATAGTATCCAGAAGTAAATTTTGTAAAAAAAAAAATTCCATTTTTTCCGTATTTTACTTTTAAATGGACTTAGTTTTTCTGCCAGTTAACATTACATTCACTCTCTGGTTAAAGTTTTTAAAATTTTAACAACTTTCTTAAACTATCCTGGATTTGTACCACACTTGGACAGAAGCTTGTTTATGATCAAAAGCTAGTATCTAGAAGGAAATTTTGATAAAATTTTGTTCCATTTTTTTCGTATTTTACTTATAAATGGACTTAGTTTTTCTTCCAGTCAACATTACATACAGTCTGCAGTTTAAGTTTTTAAAACATTTATTAGATTCATATATTATCCTGGATTTTTACCAAACCAGAAGCTACTTACATTCAAATGATAGTATAGAGAGGAATATTTTTATTAATTTTTTTTCTCATTTTTGTTGAGCCTCCGATTAACAGCAAAAGTAGGCGAGACACTGGGTTCCGCGGAACCCTTACGAATTTTTAATATCCAAAAGTGGAATTTTTAAATATTTGACGCTTGTTATCTTTTTTTATGACTAAGCATAATGTCTTATATTTCAATAAAAATTGGAGTGACAGATTAATTTGAAAATTATCTATTTCCTAAGTGGTAATGATTATAAGCTATATTATTAGACATTTTGAAGTTAATTACATTATTAATTATTAATTAAATCTGGGTTATATCTTATCATATACTATCATTGGAGTGACAGATTTAGTTGGAACTTTTCTGTTTCCTGATAAGATCTGTAGGACTGTATATATAAAGTTTGAAATTTACTAGTAGGACTGTATAAATGAAATTTGAAATTTACTGTTCATTATTAGACATTTTAGATAATTAAGTCTCCCTAAATCATATATATTC